GTGGTTAAAGTGCACTTTATAAAGAGTTTTGAACAGAAATACTACCCTTCCCTTTTTTTTTTTTTTTTTTTTTTTTTTTTAAACTTTTTTCTGATTTCCAGAACGGATTATTTTGGTTTTGAATGCATTTCTATAGGAAACCGTGTTTTTTGTTTTACAAATTTTTCTTAATAGTCTTGCAGAACCCATTAAATTGTAAACTGAGGTATGCCTGTATGTTGTCAGAACGCATCAAATATTTATTGCAAGGTCCACTCTTTACTGAAAAGTTAATATAACAAATGATCACATTTTGGTGAAATGCTTCAGACCTGTACAGGACCGCTTTATCATGTGAGGGGTCCGGTACCTCTGCTAAACATCGCAGAAAAACGTAATTGATTTTTATGTGGTCTTTTCAGTTAAAAGAGTGGACTTTACCACACACGCCAAGATGTGTTGGTCACATACAGGGGTTGGACAAAAGTATGGAAACACTATGTGATTTGCAGGTGTGAACTCTGGATGTCATGCTGCAATCTTGCTGTTCCAGGTGAGGCAGGTCTAAACTTCAGCCATACCTTTTTCCCACACTAGCAGCAAGTCCTCTCCTGTATTAGAACTGATTACTTGCAATTCCCTGCAAACTTGCATCTCCACAATATAACCATTTAAAGCTATAGCAGCTATCTTCAGCCTGCCTTCATTTCCTGTCTGAATTACTTCAATCATTCATCAATATCCTCTGTTCCTCATCTGTACCATCATTGGCCTACCTCTTCCAGTTATTAGCTTTTCTTTCAGGGCATTACCATAAGCATTAATAAGACGTCCATGCTTTAATAAACCAATCAGTAGATAACCGTAAAGTCTGCAGCACTTAGTGGCCGGAAAAAAGAGGAACATGCTTGTCTGAAGAGATGAGGATGTGTTCTTTCATGTAATGATTTTCAAAGCAGGTTTGAGTCAAAACGCTATGACATTTATGGGAACCTGCTGTCCCATCCCAACAAACAGCAGCATCACTGGGTCTCAGAAGAGGCATTTATTGCAAACAAAATGATTTGATTGAAAAATTTCTATTGCATTGAAGGAGAAAGTTGCAAGTGAAGGTATGATATGCGTAGACTACACTTCAGCTTAGTCACACCATGGGGGTGTCTCAAATTTTTATAGAGGAATTTCAGGTACCGCATAACTAATCTTAAAAATGCTCCTTCCCCATACTAACGCCTATTTTAACTAACCCGTGCAAGAAAGGTCTCTTTACTTATTTTTAGGCCACTCCAGCCCGGTCACATGATCCAGCGTTCCTGTGCCAGCCAGGGTGGCATCAAATGAAAGGAGAAATGGATGGGCCATACTAAGCCTATGGGTGATGTCACCACTCCAGGCTTTACTAGCCATTGTTAGTCTTCTCTCCTCTCCCCTGCAGCCACATGGGAGATCACATGACCCAACCACTGTGGCCTTAAAATAGGTAAGTATAAAGATATTTCTTAAACAGTTTAATCAGAATAGGTGTTAGGAGGGGGGAGGGAGCATTTTCAAGATTAATTAGGTGGTGCCTAGAATCAGTGGTGTATTTGGTATATTTTGGTTTTGTCCTGCCCTAGGCAAGACTTAAATTGGGAGCCCCCCCCTCCCAATCTTAATTTGTCCTACCCTTCCTCTTTTTAAGATCCACCCCTTCAGGACAGGAGGGGGGTAGTGAGACAGGAAGGGGTCCATGTGATGGGGAGGTGCGGGGGGGCAGCGTGACAGTTGTGGGGTAGCACCAGTCCTCCAAGCTCTTACCTGTCCAGCAGTGGCTTCTCCAGATGGTGCCAGGATCGGTAGCTGAGCCTGTGTCCCATCTCCACCAGGATCTCTAGCAGCAGCTGCAACAAAGAGCTGGGGGGGCCCTCCGCTGGCACCTCCTGTTCTCTCCCACCCCACACAGCTCAGCACACACTGACAGCGGGCCCCAGCTCTCGAGTGCTCCCTGGATCTGCTCACCACTCCACACTCTTCTACAGCTGGCCCCTGCCTGTGTGCCGGGTCAGGTTGGCTGCCCCCCCCCCCCTGCTGATACCCACAATGTCCCTTCTGCTTGGGGACGCTGCCCAAGATAAGCGCCTTGTTTGCCTCATGGCAGATACACCCCTACCTAGAATTCCATAGCAGAGCCATACAAAGCAGTGTGCTTACAGTGAAGCGCACACAGCCCACATAGTCAAACCGCACACAGTTAACCCTTTGATCACCCAGGATGTTAACCACTTCATGCCCATTAGTAAAGTGTCAGTGTTTTTTTATTAGCACTGCTCACTGTATTGGTGTCACTGGGAATGTCAGTGACACCAAGTCAGTTCCCCCCCGTCTCAGAATGCCTGCCGTAGTCCCGCTATAAGTTGCTGATCACCGCAATTACTAGTGAAAAAAAACCCCAAATTTCCAGTATATATGATGAAATTTGATTTTTTTTTTTACTGGACATGTTTAATAGCAAAAAGTCAAAAATATAGTTGTTTTTTTTTTTTCTTTCTGTAAACTGTCAGTCTTTTTTTGTTTATAGCGCAAAAAATAAAAACCGCACAGGTGATCAAATACCACCAAAAGAAAGCTCTATTTGTGGGAGAAAAAGGACGTGAATTTCATTTGGGTGCAGTGTTGCATGACCGTGCAATTGTCAGTTAAAGTAATGCAGTGCCGTCTCACGAAAAATGGCCTGGTCAGGAAGGGAGGTAAATCCTCAGGGGGGCAAGCGGTTAAATATGTAAACCTGATATTCCTGATATATATCTGCTATACCATGTACTTGTATGAAAAAGTATCTTGTTCTCTTTGTATTGCTCCCTTTGAGTGAAATTCCTGGTGTTCCTGCCAGTCCCTCTGCTTTCCTATTTCACATTGGCCACACTAGGCATGATAGAAAGCGTAGTCAATTCTCTAGGTATGGTGGGAAATTAGCCTGCTCTCGTCCAATGTTCAGACATGTGCTGACAACTACTGCCCCCCCCCCCCCCCTGCACAGCCATTCACTGGGAAGATCAGTGTGCTGCTGTTTCTTATCCCTAAGCTCCTTATGCAGCTGGGAACAGAGGGGATGTGTTCACTTATAAAAAGGGGAAAAAAAGGTATTTGCAGTGTTTTTTTTATATGTATACACAAATGTTTTGTATTTCATTGTTATTTTAAGGTGAGGGTTTACATTTTTACAACGTTACTTTATTTTAACTATTCCTTCCTAACCCCCACCCCAAAAATGCTTAGGCTTTACACACAATTTAATGCCTTGCATTTTTCTTGATACGTAGCATTGCCATCTGACTGACTGATGCTTGGGGCCTAGTCCCACGTTGGGGATCTACCAGGGGCGGACTGACAACTCATGGGGCCCCCGGGCCATAGGAAAGCATGGGGCCCCTGTGTCCTCTCCCACACTCAAACCACACCCAAAAAAGCCTATGAAAGGTACCAGGGGCATCTCATGGGGCCCCCTATTGACCCTGGGCCCCCGGGCAGTGCCAGAGTTACTAAATGGTCAGCCCGCCCCTGGATCTACCTAAAGCAGCTCATGGATGATCTCATACTTTGGGGCAGGCAGATGCGAATGAGAATTCTTGGGGCAATAACACTTCTAACACTTGCCTACACTGCTCACTCACTCCTTTTACCATTTGACATGAACTTGCTACATCCTCAGAACTAACCTTCTAGTTTACAGTATGTAGATCTTTCCAGCACTTAATATAGCTTATCAGACCTTAGATGTAGTCACTGTATTAGTTCCCTTTTTATCGGCTTTTTCCCTTTGCAAGTTTCTGCTTTCTGTTGTGAACGGGCCCTTATACAGATGCACATGTTGACTTGTGCTTGGCTTGTTGAACAAGTGCCATTTACTCCTTCCCATTTCAGTTGAGTTTGTTGCCAATAGCATTAGGGCTCTTGTACACTGCTGCTCCTAAACTGACGTTCAGGAGCTGTTGAGCGGTTTTTTTCAGCAGCCCCTGAACTCTCCCTAATCTTTTCCTATGTGTCCATGTGCACATAGTTGTTTACAGGCAGTTGGGTTTACAGTCGTTTTTTTGAACGCACAAAACCTGCGTTCAGGAGTAGATATTACCGGCGTTTCAAATGCCAAACACTTGTAAATGCGGTTATCCGCGTTTTATAAGCGTTTGTTTTTAGAAGTGTTTTTTAATTGTTCCATGTCCAAATGCTGCTTTCCTCATCAGAAATGCATGCACAGCATTTTCCATGTATTCAATTGGACCCGGTACACCAGTGCAGTCAGTTCCAGGTTTCGTGTCAAGGAAACAAATGGTAGAATGTGCTTCATCATGCTCATGATGGGATCCATAGTGAATACAACCAGAAAAGACAGGTCATCTCACTACATACTGCTCTCTCTGCTTCTGCTCTCTCTATTCCTCTCAAAATGTATGAAATAGTTAATTATTTACTATTTTTCAGTGCATTCTGGGCATTTGGGAAGGTCTCCTGAGGTTATCTTTTAAAAACGCACATAAGCGTGCATAAATGTGTTATGCAAACACGGCTAAACTGACATTTTTTTAACCTACCTTTTCCAGCAGTCCATTTCCATCGTTCTGAAGAGTTTTCCAAACGCCCCGAGTACATGAGCCCGAGTAATGTGTTTACTGGTATATTTTATGTCTTGATACCTGATATTTAACGGAGTTCTATGGCCACAGCATACGCTTTCGTTTGACAACATCAGCATTGTAACATAAATACAAACAATATTGACAATCCTATATAAGCTTACTTTAACCCCTTGCCTACAGGGCACTTATACCCCCTTCCTGCCCAGGCCAATTTCCAGCTTTCAGTGCTGTCACACTTTGAATGACAATTGCGCGGTCATGCAACACTGTACCCATATGAAATTTTTATCATTTTTTTGAGACCGAGCTTTCTTTCGGTGGTATTTTAATCACCTCTGGGATTTTTATTTTTCTTAAACCAAAAACCACTGAAAATTTAAAAAAAAAAAAGTTTTTTCTTAGTTTTTGTTATACAATTTTGTAAATAATTGATTTTTCTCCTTCACTGATGTGCGCTAATGAGGCTGCAGTGATGGGCACTGATAGGCTGCACTGATGGACATTGATAGGTGGCACTGATGAGGAGGCAGTGGTAGGTTGCATTGACAGGCATCACTGATGGGCACTGAAAGGCAGCACTGATACATGACACTGATAGGCGGCACTGACTGGCACTGATGGGTGACATTGAAAGGCAGCTCAGATGGGCACTGATATGTGGCATTGATGTGCACTGGAATGCACTGATATGTGGCATTGATGTGGCACTGATGGGCACTGGCACGTGGCACTGATGAGCACTGACTGCTGGCACTGATGGACACTGACAGGTGGCACTTCTGGGGCCACACTGATCATCAGTGCCCTAATAATCAGTGTACATGTCCCCTCTGTGGAAAGCCGATTACCGGCTCTCCTCTCCTCATGAGCTGTCAGCGTGACAGCTCGAGAGGAGAGAAATGCCGATAACCGGCATTTCTGTGTTTACATGTGATCAGCTGTGATTGGACACAGCTGATCACATGACCGAGCCGAGATATTCGGCTCTTTCCATGATCCGCTGTGTCCAAGGGACAATATTTTTGTCCATGACTGTATGATTTTAAATTTTGAACATAGATACACTTTAATATTGGAATAAAATAAAACCCTTTAATATTAACTTTTATTTTTAAAGTGTATTTCTCTTCTGGATGTGTGCATTCAGTATAATATGTATCTCAAGCTAGGCAATGGGCAAGTCAAGAAAAAGTGATTAATTAGGTTTATGTTGGCAGGAGAGTTGCTTATGTTTTTGTATTTAAGTAGAACTATAGGCAAAATCTTTTTCATTTTGAATCTAGTTAGGGAGGGTTATAACCCCTGTCAGTTTATTTTTTTCCATCCATGTCCTATTTGGGAGATTTACCTTCACTTCTTGTTCCATAGCCGAAAAAGTTAGAGATAACCCTACAAATAAAGGGAATTCCTTGGGGACTGTTGGGTCACCAGAACGAAGGAAAATTTCCCATCTATTACATTTCTGTAGACTACCCAAAATGTGGGGTTTTCTTTACTTCCACTTTCAATGATGGTAAACAAGACGAATAGAGAGGGTGAATATCCCTAACGGGGACACAGACAGCAATAAAAACCTAATGGCTGTTCTAATCCATCTCCACTCTATCCAAAACAAAAAAAAAAAAAAAAAAAAGGTTTTGCCTTTAGTTATACTTTGATATCTACTATTGTTTTAGGTGCAGCCACTTACCTTTTATATCATAGTGGGAGTCTACAGGTATCATGCTCTCTGGCCTCCCATAACAAGTGACAGTATTGCTCTTTTCTATGTGTTATTTCTCAACTTCTTCTTCATGTGGTTTAGATTTTAAACGGAAGTCTGGGACAGTGCGTGCCAGCACTGCTCCATCTAGAGCAGTGGTTCTTAACCTGGGTTCGATCGAACCCCAGGGGTTCGGTGAGTCAGTCTCGGGGGTTCGGCGGAGGTGGCCCACACCCGACTCATATGATTTGTGATGACATGCCCAGTGGTCGGCAAGCCGCGGCTCTTGTGTGCCGGGCGCCCGCTCCCCTCCCTCCTCTCGGGCGGCAGGGACTCAAATGCAATGATTGGCCAGTCTCGCTGCCACTCACATCCTGATAGCCAGTGATTGGCTATCAGGATGTGTGTAGGCGGGGCAGCGTGACGAACGTGAGAGGAGCTAGGCTCCTCTCACAGTCCGCCCTGAAGACCAGAACGGCGCGGGAATACAGCGAGAGGAACGCGCGGAGCAAAGGTAAGTGAATTGACACAGGGGGGACTTGGGGACTTAATATGGGGAATGAATTACTATATGGGGGATGAATTACTATATGGGGGATGAATTATTATATGGGGGATGAATTACTATATGGGGGATGTATTACTATATGGGGGATGTATTACTATATGGGGGATGTATTACTATATGGGGGATGTATTACTATATGGGGGATGAATTACTATAGGGGGGATGAATTACTATAGGGGGGATGAATTACTATAGGGGGGATGAATTACTATAGGGGGGATGAATTACTATAGGGGGGATGAATTACTATATGGGGGGATGAATTACTATATGGGGGATGAATTACTATGGGGGATGAATTACTATATGGGGGATGAATTTTCATACCGTTTGTTACAACATATCTTTGCGAGCAATCCTTTTCGAGGATGCTGGACATAAAGACGAAGAAAAGGAACAGACTTTGTTGCGAAAATGACATGAGAGTGGCACTTGCCAAGGTAATGCCGCGCATTTCTGAACTGGCCTCTGAAAGACAACAGCAGAAGTCACACTGATTTGCGGTAAATATTCATTATTTTGTTTTTGTGTGAAAATCATGTTTTAATGGTTTTGTTCTTAATGGTTTTATTCATTTTGTGCACCTATGTATAAATATATACCTATGTTTTGAATTTTAAAAATCATATTTTATTTTTCCAATTAAGAAGGGTTCGGTGAATGCGCATATGAAACTGGTGGGGTTCAGTACCTCCAAAAAGGTTAAGAACCACTGATCTAGAGCCATTCTAAAATCTGGGTTCAGAACCTGAAGTCATCCATTTTTGTGTGTGACCACAATTCCCATTCACAATCTTTATAGGCAATACTTATTTTGGCCACTAGATGTAGCTGATGCATTGTGGCCATTCGCAGAATTGAATAATTTTTCTTTGCCAAGCTGATGTAGTGTCTTCGTTTATTTTGCTGCTGATGTTTTCTGTCTTTTTTGATGATTACAAATATTTTTGGATAAGGTAACTAAATTGTACTGCTTCTTTGAAAGCTGATGACTGATTTGGTGTCGTTGCTTATGAGATGATCCCAAAAGCAAAGGTTTAGCATACCTCCTGCAGTTCAGGGATCTCATGCTTCTTCCCATTTCCAGCATTCCAATTCTTTAACCGTTTTAGATTTATTTAAAATGTAAACAAATGTAGAAACCTGAATCTGATTTAGCTTAGTGTAATTTATACAACAGGACGCTTGCCTTCCCCTAAGTTGGCTTCTTTACCTAAATAAATCCAATGACAGATCAAAGCAGTTGTAAAGACTGGATTTTTTTTTCTGAAATAACAAATGTGTTATACTTACCTGCTCTGAGCAAGAATATTGCACAGAGCTGGCCTGAACCACCTCTTCTGGGGTCTTCCGCCAGCACAGATGGCTCCTTCTCCTATGTGTCTGCCACCATAGCAACCTGCTTGCTATGGGGGCAGATGTACAGGCTCGCTCTCGTGCTGGGCTGTGTGCATCCAAAGACATGCGCAGTGCGACTTGGCCCAGTCCCCATCACTAGAACCACCAATCCTGGTGCAGGAATGGGTGGAGCCTGAGGATGAAGAAGAGGTCACAGCCTGAGGGGAAGCAGGAGATCTCTGCCTCCCAGTCTCAGAGATTTTTAGTCCAGGACCTCACTGATATGGTACAGTCTGGATTCAGGCTACCTCTGATAGAAACCTTTTGAGGCTACTTATTCTTCCCTGGGCTCTTTAAAGCCTTCACAGAGTACTCAAGCCTTTCCAGTGCATCCTCTTCTGGAGCAAATTATGTATGCTGACTGGGATCAAAAGAAAGAAATGGGGGTTGTCTGTAGTGGATGCAGCTGTTTCATCCCTGAAATAATTTTTAACATGTCCTGTGGATAATGTACAGGTTTTCAAGGACCCAGCGGATAAGGGTCTCTTAAGGCATCTTTCTCCCTGACAGGTTCTGCCGCACAGCCAGCTGTGGCAGCTATTGGTATTTGCCAGAGTCTTTCTGACCATGTCAAGCAACGGATTCTAACACCATCAGTGCAGGGGGAGTGCTCGGCTGAGGATTTGGAGGATGTTCCACATGCTGTGTATTTTGCGGTTGATGCTCTTAAGGATTCAGTTCAACAAATTTCTCGCTTGGCCCTCTTATCAGTGCACAAGCGCAGGGTTTTGTTGCTGAAGAGTAGGTAAGCAGAACTGCCATGCAAATAATTGTTGGCAGGTTTTCCCTTTCATGGGGAATGGCTGTTTGGGGATGATTTGGACAAATATATCCAAAAGATTTTAGGGGGTAAGGGTGCTCTTCTACCCCCTAAGAGGAAATCCAAACATCCTTCTTTTAAGGTGTCCGGCTTCGGTTGCTGGGCCCTCATCTAACAGGCATTCGTTTGGCCACACACATGTCCCAGTCTCCAGGGGTAGATCTCAGTATCAAAACCCAAGGAGGCCCTGGGTGCAAAAGTCGTTTAAGACAGATCCAAAGTCTGCCTCCTTATGAAGGGGCGCTCTCACTTGTTTGAGGGGAAGGCTTTTGAATTTTGTGGCCGCTTGGAGGGCTCTAATCAAAGACAAATGGGTAATTTCCACGATTTCTCTGGAGTACAGACTAGAATTTTGAGTAGTTTCCTCTCCCTGGTTTTTAAGATCAAATCTACCAACAAATCCAGAGAAAAGAGCTTTATTTCAGGCACTCGATTGCCTTTTGGCTCAAGGAGTAATCACGGAGGTTCCAGCGGGCGAAAGGTTTCAATGGTTTTTAGTCAAACCGTTTACAGTTCCAAAACCAAATGGGGATGTAAGGATGGACCTCAAGGGACTAAATCAGTTCCTATATGTCTGATCCTTTCGTATGGAATGGGTTCGGTCAGTAGTGGCCTCCTTACAGGAGGGAGATTTTTTTGGTGTTCATAGACATCAAGGGTGCATACCTGCATGTACTGATATTCATTCCTCACCAAAGGTTTCTGCGGTTTGCAGTAGGGGCTCAGCATTTCCAGTTCATAGCACTATCGTTTGGGCAGGCCATGACTCCCAGAGTTTTCACAAAAATTTTTGTTCCGATGTTGGGGCTTCTCAGAACTTGGAGTATCGATCACAGGTTATCTAGACGGTCTCTTGCTCAGAATCGTTTGGTGCCAGATCTGAAGCAGGATGTGGTCCTTACGATGAAGATTCTGGAACAGCTGGTCTGGGTGCTCAACCTAGTGTTGCACCCTGAGGAACGAGGTTTGCAGTTTGAAGGCCAAGAGATATCCTTCTGTATGAGGTTGCTGTGAAAGATGGTGTCCTCGTTCCAGGCTATTCCCTATGCTCAATTTCACTCCAGACCACTGCAAAGGTAATTCTGTCTGTTTGGAATAAAAAGATTCCGGCCCTGGATTACTGCACATATCTGTCTCCAGAGGTTCAGCAGAGCCTAAATTGGTGGTTAAGTCACAATTTTGAGAAGGGAAGATCCTTTCGGCCAGTGGTGTGGAAGTTGGTAACCACCGATGCAAGCCTTTCAGGTTGTGGGGCCATTCTGGCGGAGGCCACAGTTCAGGGAACATGGCTTCCACAGGAAAGGGTTCTTCTTACCAATGTTTTGGAACTTTGAG